CGTCTATTTGGAACGTGCATCTTGAAAGGCGTGTACAAAAAAGACAGAAAAAAATTATCCTTTTCCTGTTATCGCATAGGTCTATAGGCAGATATATCTCATGCAGACTGTATTTCACATAGGAAAAGGCATTAAATGCTAAAGATCTGTTGAAATGAAAGTGTAGTACAGAAGTGAAAAGTGCATTTAAGACAATCGGAAGAAAATCCTTGAAAAGGGGGACACCCGTGGGGAGAGATTTCGCGGAGGAGAAATCTTTATATGTGGGATTGTCCTCCTTATGGGGGGACATCTGGCAACCCTGCCACCTAGGTCCAATACCCGAGGGGGAAAAAGTAGCTTCAGGTACCACCAGTAACCCGACGGAGCATAGTGGAACCCTGTGGAGCGGTAGCTAGTTCCGGTGGTACCAAGTGGCTCCGCATGAGTTCCAATGAGTTTCGTTCAGCCCCAAGGACTTCCAATGTGCTTCAATTAGTTGCGTTCAGTTCCACTCAACTTCAATGAGTTCTGAAGGGTGAGGCTTCTTGGAGCTCATCGGAACTGAGTGAAACTCATGTGGAGCCACTTGGTACCACCGGAGTTGCTTTTTCGCCCTCGCCAATATCACACTACTTTTGCTTAGGAGGAGGACGTTTTCGACTAGCGTCAGGCGTTGATCCAGTTAATCTTTTGCCTCATCATGTTATTCGGTCACGCTCCGCAGGCTGCCTCGATGGACGTCATGGTAAACCAACTGCGTCTCGCAGTTTTGCTCGCTGTCCAGCTTCGGCGTATGCCTGATCATCTTCAAACTACTCCTCTTCTTGGTCGTCTATTTCTCCTGGTGGCGTAGACGGCATGTTGGTTGCTGTTTTAGCTGAAGCAGGTTGCTTAGCTTGTTGAAGTTTCAGGCAGTGCGGAGTCATGACTTATATCCCGAACGGGATATTTATCCCGATCGGGCTATACGATTATCCCGATTGGGCTACAAATCCTGATCGGGATATAATCAAGATTCGAATCGGGATATATATCCC